TCCCAATTTTCTTTCCCCCCCCCCCCCCCAGGATAAATAAGGCAGTTCTGTGCTTTGCCAGTTTTGTTCTGTTGTTTCTGACACGGCATGGCATGTATACATCGTGGGGGCGGGGGGGGAGTTGTTTGGGGTTTTTTTTGAAAAAGGCACCTGAATCATGTTAGAATTACTTTAGTGTTAACTGTACAAACTTCCAAACAAAACTTTATAAACAAAAGGAAATGCTGAAGTCATGGCAGTTGTTCATCAAAACTGTTGGTACCAAGTGAGACTGAGTGTCAAGAAAGTGGTAGTGTGCCCATTTAAGTTAAGATACAATGACTCATCTTAAAATTGTTTAGTGTTCCCATATGCCTCTGTAAACCTGCATGTGTGGATCCAATTCAGACTCCTACTCCTTCAGAAAAACATGAAGCGTGCCTAGGTCATACTGTGATTGACTGACCTGCTGCAAAATCTGCTGGCATTGGTCCTCATCAGTAATTGTGTGTAATTTGCATTGCTTTCAGGCATAATGTTGCCCTAATTGAACCATAAGCCAAATTATATACAAGCAAGCACTGAAATAAATGATTTAAAAACCTATATGACAGATTGAACAGCTGTTTTTTTATATGAATCACAGTTGTAAATCACATTAGTTACATCATTGAACAATTGAATTTAAACTAGTCTGAAACAAGTTACCTGTGCAGGCTAAACTGACTTTTATTCCTATATGTCTTGATACAGATTTACTTGTAAAGATAACCAACATTCTTGGATGGGGGGGGGGAATGAAGCTTGTGCTACGCTGCAGAAAATTCTTCCCTTTAAGCATTTAAGAGAATGATGTGTTGGCTAGACCTTCTTACTGTAACTTGCAAATCTAAAGAATATGCATGCTTAGTTAATGCTCAGCCCTAAGAGTACATTCCTTGCACATAATTCCTGTTGAATGTGATAGGGAAAAAAAAAATCAATTCAGAGCTAATCTTAGTATTGTACAAATGTTTAGCTACACCAAACTTTCTGTGTGTGTAAGCAACAGTTTACAGTGAAACATACTGCCTAAAAGGTTCTAGTAATATTTCCTCCAAAATGGGCATTATAAGATGCCTTTTGGGGGATAAGTGATGATTCTTGGATGTCATCCATTTCTAACATATGTACTTGACAGCGTCTTGACTGATCTGCAGTAGCTTTAGGAGCTATTCCAGTAGCTGTTGCTATGTACCATGTAGTGCCATCAATGTTTCTCAGAAAGCGTGGGGGGACTGGGACTGAACAGAGCGCTTGGTCACTGTAGGGTAGAATAGTCTGCCAAAAGACCTCATCTTTGATACTTTACCTGTGCTTCAATCAGAATGGGAAGAGCAGCTGGTATGACTTACATCCTTGTGGTCCCAAGTGGAATGAGTTAACCCAGATGGTTATCCTGGTTTTGGTTTGGAACTCTGAAGGCGTAGGAGGAAGTGGAAAGGTGAATTCATGCTCTAATGGAGAGCCTTTAACTTCATGGAATGTCTGCCACAGTGTCATAATAAAAGCAATTTCCTTCCTGAGATACATTGCAAAGCTACTTTGTCTAAAATCTCATGGAAGGTAGCTCCTTGGTTTTTTTTTCTTGTCCATTAGCTGCAAGCTAGCAACATTTTTGCAAAAGTCAAGTTAGAATTTTAAGAAGCTGTACCACTAAAGTATGCTAATTTCAGATGATAGGGAGTTACCTTGGTTTCCTGAATTGCGATCATTGGAAGTGAAATTATTTTACCTAGACCTGTACTACTTCTCTTGGTGTGCTAATGCAGATGCTTTCCTAATACTTCACAGGTGGAGGATGAAGTTGATCGCAGCATTCAGAAAGTATATAATGGGTACAATGGGACAAATCCTGATGCAGCCAGTCGTGCTATTGACTATGTACAGAGGCAGGTGAGACTGTGAGACAGTCCTTTGTGTCCTTAAAACACAGGTGCTATGTTGCTCTACTCCTTGTGTAGCATATCTTCCTCCCTTCTGACAGATCTAGGAAACAGCTGATTGGTCAATAAATAGCTTAAAACAGTTAAAATTAGTAGAATTATGGCATTGTTGATGGGGAGATGCATTTTGTGTAATTGGCTACCTATGAATCATAGTTTGGATTCAAATATTTAGTACTTGCCTATCTTTCTGCAATGGAACATTGTAGAATGTTCTCATGTCTGCACCAGGTTTATCTAGAACATGCTGGGGGAAAGAAGTTCTTGATTCTAGCTGAAAGCTAGTGTTGCAAGCTTGTGGATTCAAGGCTAAAACAACTGATCAGACTTACAGAAGATTCAGGGGCTTTCAGTATTCTTACAATTGCATCAATATAAAAAGTTGTCTAATATTTACATATTAAATGTCTAATGCATTTAAGTCAGTCATACTACTAATTAATACCTTGCTTAAAATCCGTCCTGAAAGGGAAAAAGGAGAAGAAGCTGGTAAATTGACACTTACGTAGTACCTTTGAGGCTGCACTGTACACAAGAAAACTCCAAGCACTACAACAGAGTATGAGCTCTCAGCAGAATGGAACTGTATTTATTTTTAATTGGTTCATTCCTGAAGGCCTTCTACATGGCCACACAGGCATGTGATTATACGAAATGAACTTTAATTCTGCACCACAGCTCTGTGAGGAGAGCGAGAACTATGTCCAGAAAACAAAAGGGGTTTTTTTCAAGCATCTGTTGTAAGCTTTAAGGATAGAGCTGTTCTAAGCCAAAAATAAAGCTTTTGTCTTGTCTGGGAGGCATGAGAGAAAAGTGGGTTGTCAAATATGCCCCAAGAACTGGAATTTCAAGTCTGTATTTTGTAGGGAGTATCTTAAATGATTTAAGGCTATAGGTCCCTTTACAATACGCTCAGTCTATGATATGCTTAAGTAACTGTCAAATAATTTGTGTTACTCAAGTAACCAAGGTAGCCTAATCTTTATATACTTGTGTTCTTGGTATTGCAATTAGAATTGCTTTCTCATCCCACTCCTTGACTGATAAACACATTGGCTCTTTACCTGCATGTTTTTTCAGCTGCGCTGCTGTGGGATCCATAACTATTCAGACTGGGAGACTACTGTCTGGTTCAAACAAACTAAAAATAACAGTGTGCCACTTAGCTGTTGCAAAGCAGCCCTCAGCAATTGTACTGGCAGTTTGACCCGCCCAATGGACCTTTATTCTGAGGTAAGACAGCTGAACTATGAACTTATGTAGCCATGTGCTTTTGCTGACAATTGTTTAATTTTCTTTTTAGTGGGAGCATGAAGTCTTGGGTGTATTTGCTTTAACAGGAAATAAATAGATGATAAGGATATACTAAGTAATTACTTTTTTAGTGTTTGGTTTATCTTTCTGCCCTGTTTGATGCTTTGGGGGTTTTTTTTTGTGTGCCTAAAAGTGTTTGCCAGATGGATATATAAGAAGTCTACTTGTTTCAGGGGTGTGAGGCTCTGGTTGTAAAGAAGCTTCAAGAGATCATGATGTATGTCATCTGGGCAGCACTAGCATTTGCTGCTATTCAGGTAAGAGTAATCTTTAGCTGTAAACTCTTTCTCAGATGAAACTGCTGTCCAGGTTACTACAGGTATGCACAGGATGGTGACAGCTTTAGTCCCTACTTGGTCTGGGGGGGTAAATGCACATCAGTCAAAAGGATCTAAACACTTTAACACAGAACTTTTCAACCATGCGTGATCTAAAAACTACTGCTATGTGGATGTATGTTCTGTTAGATTTGAAGATAGCTGAACAGTCAATGTTACATGCAGTAATCTACTAGAATGTAAATGGTAAATTATTTCTTGAAAACCAATTATCTTAAGTATTAAGTATCGTGAATGTGCTCTGATGGCATTTAACACTTGAAGAGTTTCCACAGTATTTGATTTCCAACAGCTCATACTGATGTTTTAAAAACATGGCATGATTTAAACATGCTTCGTGGCATACAAATAATGTCAAGACCACCCAGGAGATACACCAGGGGTTTTGATAGCATACTCTGCTCTTGTTCAGCTGAGCTTTGCATTGTCTTGAAGATTTCTTGGTTTCTGGACTTAAGCAAAAAAAGAGGTTCTAAACTAGAGACCCTGCCTACTTAAAACTGGGGACAGGCTGTCTCCCACATAAACCTTAATTGTTACAGTTACCCTGGTCATAAAACGTAACTGAGGAAATAAACTGATGTGTGTCTCAGTATTTATTTAGATTTAAAAAAAAAAGACTAGGACTGTCTTTTAAACGTATCTGTAAAATTGGAATTTTGAATGCTGATCAATTTGGCAGGCTTAGTACATTCATCACACTATTTTCAGACTGTCCCAATGTTGTGGCCTCTGAGAAATGTAGTACATATGCTGAATCCCAAGAGACTTGAAAATTAACTTTGAAGTTACTTTTGTGCCCATAATAGCATTTGAATTCAGAAAACATTGTACCTGTTGAGTCAGGCAGTTTAGGCATTTTTGTTTTCAAAAGCAGCTTTTGAGCTGTATTGTAGATTTGAAGGTAGATAATCTTTTGCAAACAGTCTTGTGAAAATATGGTTAAATTTTTATTTCAATGCTACAAGGATATAATCATAGATAATGCTATATATAGTAATAACGTTGAACTGTCCAGAACCAGATTACTTCAGCTATGGAACTTCGAATTTGGTGAGATCTGTGCTCAGTCTTCTGAAGGAAAGTATTTTTTTAATTGCCATTCTTAAAACTCTAACTGCTAAAGCAATACTTAGTCTCCTTGAACACTGAAATACCTTCATTAACATTATACAAATGTATTTACCACAACCATGATTACTGTGGGAGATTTTTTTTATGTAGGAAAAAAAAAAAGTATGTTATGAGGCTGGGTGACCTGAATCCCAAGAGGTGGCATTATTCCTGGCTTTGGAGTTTGGAGGTTGATTAATGAGGTCTGCCCCAAAATGCAGCACAGTTGTAATCCTGTCTGGGGTTGGGCCAGAATTTCTGACACGTGCTTGCAATGGAAATGTGGCTGCTTGTATCCTTCTGTTATTCCTGGCTCATCAATTCTAGGCAAGCATGTTAGTTGTATCCCTTTTGCAGTAGGTACTCTTTGATTTGTCTTTGTGTCAGTAATCAAGCTATTGGCAGAAAGTACATACCTTATAAACAGTTTGTCAAGAAAATAAGAATGTCAGAGAAACTTCTTTGCTATTGCTGTGGTATAGCATTTTGAAATCTTTTTGCTTAAAGTTAAAACAAGCTACATGATACCTGTTCAAAAAAAGAATAGAATAAAAATAAATATAGAATACAGCATGTTGGGAATACCCTTGAAATTTCTGTCTAGTAACACTCACTGAGTGGTATTCACATTTAAGTTTATCAGAGGTCATATTGTATATTTGCTCCACAGTTCAAATGGTTGTAAATTTATATGTTTCTAAAAGGCGTTACTTTCACTCAAGTTGATACTAAACAGTATTCGAACTGTTCTGTTATATAAGTTATGTCCTCTTATTTGTAATACAGAATTTAAGTACGTACTTAGCCTGATTTATCTGCAAAATAGTTTGGGGGCTGATTGAAATGGAGGTAAGAATGTAAACTTTGGCAAATGACCTGTAACCTAGGTCATGTCCTGTAAACTTAGAGGAGTAATTATGTTTTTCTTAAATTTTTGTGAATTTTACTACCTTTCCTATGTTCACTGCATAGAGTCCACTCTGAACTGTTATTTTGTACGTTATGCAATAAGGCTGTCCAAAGTTTATTACTTCTAATAGCTTACGTGGAACAAATGTAGCCTTCAGTACTTTCTTTAAAATGAAAAGACTGAGAAGAGGAGAATTTTTGCAAGACTTGGAATTTGTGGAAAGCTTAGTCTTTTCTGCATAGAAGTAATTTTTGGTATGTTCATGTTTCAGTTACCATGGGGATCTTCCAGTGTGCAGTAATTCCCTGGTCTCAACCACAGTGACAGTACAGAACTGTTAATAAATAGGAGGCAAACTGAGGGGAGCAAAGGCATTACAGTGCAGTAGAAGTCCTGCTTGATCAGCTGCAGAGTTCATTCTTAAAGATAGCTTTTATAGTTAGTGGTCATTTACAAGGTACCGAGCTTGGTGTATATATATAGCCAGTGAGCTTTTTTGTAGGGGAAAAAAAAGGCAAATGGGTTTGGTGAAAACAAATGGAATATAGTTACTGCTAGTAGGCAGATTTTAAACAAACAAACAAAACCACAAACAAAAGAAAACCACACAAACCCCAAAACAAACCTTCTGACTGTGGGAGATGTGTCTAAACTTTTCTGAAAGTTGAAGAAGAGGGGGATGCATGGATCCTTCCTCAATACAGACTTCTAAAATATTTTTGTTCACAATGTTAAGTAGCAACTGAAGAGAAACAGAATCAAATGCCTTTAGAAAAAGTTTTAGAGTTGCTAGTGTATTTTAAAAAATTACTTACTAAACAATTTCTGTAGAGAGAGTTGAAATACAGGGATTACTTCTGTGTTTACACTGAATTCTAGGAATATGCTCACTGGCTTCCTAGACATTATAAATGGTTTAAATAGTAACTCAAAAGTTGATTACATGAGTTATTACAGTACCTGATCGTTTCAGATTTTACACCACTCTATTTAAATTGAATGTCTTGAGTGAGTCATTGACCAGGATTATCTTTGTGTGAATAACTGTAAATGTGATGGAATTGCTTTTATGTATTTGAAATTCATGGCTAGAATTATAGCAAATGACTAAAGGAGATGTCTTTCTGGCACACTCTTGTATCATTGTTTTGAACAGGGAAAAAGGTGAAGTTTCTGTACTTGCAGGCTGCAAGCCTTCTTCAGAGTTCTGTAGCCTCTGGCAACTACCATGAACTCTCACATGTCACAGCTCACAAGTCTAACTTAAGGGGTTTTTAACTGTGGATATTATCTCCTCACTTAGAAGGGCTCTGTCCGTGAGGAGGCATTCTCTCATGTAACTCTGTTTTTTCCTTACTCTGACATGAATATAATGTATATTTGGGAGTTAATCTGTGAACTGGAACCACGCAAGTACTGATGGAAAGTATAGAAAGGTGCTGTTTTTACCAACAGGCTGAAGTGCCATACTCTAGGTTACTCTCCATATGCTTTTTTGAACCTGAGCTGGTTTCTGCTATAGATCTAACGCAGATAATGCACTCCAGACAAAGAATATTATTAATCTTTACAGCTTGTTCCTTTCTAGGAAATTAAAAGCTCATACTAGAATTTCATCATGCCTCTTATTAATCACTGCTTATTTAGACTTAGGATTTTTGAAGCATTCTCTCTTCAGTCTTTCAGCAGACTTGAGTACTATGTTGCATGTACCATCATCATTTAGTTGTTTTAAGACTTGTTACACATGTGATCTTTGCATCAGGCTTTATTAACAAAAAGCAAGTAATTCTCCTTTTGCCCAGTGCTGTGTTTCACTGGGTTTTTGCTGTACGAGTGAAGAAGCTTTACATTTGGCTGTCTGCTCACTTATTTCATTCTTGTTTGCTTTTCTGTTCAAGGTGGGGTTTTGGGGTGGGGTTTTTGTTTGGTGGTTTTAGAAACTTATTTACCTTCTGGGTGATGCTTTATAATCCGGAGCTATGACAGGAGCCCCATGAAATATTTGCATCTGTGAATAAACTTCCATGCATATGACCAAATCAGTACAATCTCTTACTGTACTAGAAGCTATTGCCAATTACTGTCAACCATAGAACACAACACTACCTGGTTTTTTTTAGTAGGTGCAGTCTTAGTCTATCTTCAGGAAACGTGCAACTTCTGTAAAATATCATGCCCTACATCCATGATGACATTCACCTGATTTAAGTCTTGTAAATGTATACAAGGTGATCAAACCTTAAATTCCTGGCAAACTTGCCAGAACCATCATGGTACTGTGAATTCTAACAGCAGGAAAATGTCTAGAAGTGAATAATTCACATTGGACTTAAGCTTTCTAATATGACATGTTAACAGGGATTGAGCATTTGAAAGAGGTTTCAATGGTGAAGTAGGTTCATAAAACTAAAGTTTTGCTCTTTTTCATCACGGCAATTAGAGGCTAATGTATTTGAATTTCACTTTGATTTTTCATACTAGATACAGTATCTAAATCTGTACCTTTCATAAAATTAGTAATTTCTTCTATGTGAATTGTTGAGGCAGAATACAACTGGCTGACAAAAAAAACTTCCATTAAAGGTGTCCAAGACAATCTTGTAAGAAAATAAGGCTGGAATTCGTGGCCCTTGCTTTTTGCAGCAGGAAATGACGCTTTTTCAAGAGCAGTGCATTTGTTGCCATTTACCTTATGGACAATTACAGTCTTGCAAAGCATGCTGACAATTTCTTTGCTGAGGTTAAATCTCTTGGAAGTGCCTTCTTTGTACTCAGCTTGTTTTCTTGTTTTTTCTCCATAGCTTCTGGGCATGTTGTGTGCCTGTATAGTACTATGTAGGAGGAGTCGGGATCCTGCCTACGAACTTCTCATCACTGGCGGAACCTATGCCTAGAAGAGAATGCGAACATGCAGTTCAGTCTTATCTCATCTATGTGGAAGGTGAATGGGCCAGGTCTACTGCAATAGCTTTCTTGCCCTAAGCTTAGTCAAAGCACACCTTTCGCAGATGAGGACAGCAGTACTGTACACTGGTGATGGGCAAAACAGCTCAGCTTTACACACACCCATATAATTACCTGTGACTTTCACTGTTTTAGCCAGCTATTCATGTATCTAAATGTTTTAGTATACTAGTAAACTTTCTAATTTCAGAACCATTTGCAAGTTAAGTGTAATTTGGTTGATATGAAAGTCAAAGGATGTGTGCCTACTTTGGTAGATTACCTCTAAGCATTAACTGGCTGATTGTTGCATATAGAGAGAGGATTTATTAAACCTTCACTACATGGAACTCTTTTGGCCAAAGTTGTACAAAGGAAGCCAGCTGTATTTAATTTGAGGAAAAAAAATATTTTAATCTTGCCCTTCACCAGTGTCACTTTTTAAAAACACTTAAGTGAAGTCCAGTACACTTTATATATAAAAATTGTGGGGGGGGGGGGGGGGGGGAAAACCAAAAAA